TATTGAGTCAGCTTTCAGATTGATAAGAAATGTAGCAGTCAAACAATCAAAAGATATAGTCCACCATTCTTTTCAAAAGAGACAAGCTCTTATCCTTTATGCTGAAAAGAAAACTAGAAGCTTCCCATTCTAATTTGGCAATATATAAATATTCTGTTTGAAAGTAGAGTACTCAATGGATTTTTTGTCTTGCTACTTTAACCTTCTTAATACATTTTCCTAATAGCAATAGCATTTAGATATATACCACCTCCATAGTGATTTACAGAGCTCTGGGCAATTTACAATATAAGTATTATTTATATATTGCCCCCAAGAATCTGGGTCCTCATTTTACCAACTCGGAAGGATGGAAGGCTGTGTCATCCATGAGACCCATTAGGATCAAACTCAAGGCTATGGGCAGAGTTTGCCTGCAATACTGCACTTTAACCACTGCACCGTTAGGCTATCCTAACCCTAATCCTAATCAGAACATGTTTCTGAGTTAAATCTTACTAGTTCCCGAGTTTAACAACTTCCAATTCAGACTGCTGTTAGAAAGCTGACAATAATTTTGACTAAGTCCTACTCCCGCTATTACAAAAACAACCTTACTTCAAAACAACAACAACAACAACAACAACAACAATAATAATAATAATGTTGGAAGGGGCCTTGGAAGTCATCTACTCCAACCCCTTGCTCAGGCAGAAAACCCTATACCATTTCAGACAAACGGCTGTCCAGTCTCTTCTTAAAAACGTCCAGTGTTGGAACATTCACAGCTTCTGGAGGCAGGTTGTTCCACTGATTAATTGTTCTAATTGTCAGGAAATTTCTCCTTAGTTCTAGGTTGCTTCTCTCTTTGGTTAGTTTCCATCCATTGCTTCTTGTCTTGCCTTCAGGTGCTTTGGAGAATAGCTTGACTCCCTCTTCTTTGTGGCAACCCCTGAGATAATGGAACACTGATATCATGTCACCCCTCGTCCTTCTCTTCATTAAACTAAACATACCTAATTCCAGCAACCATTTCTTGTATGTTTTATCCCCCAGTCCCCTAATCATCTTTGTTGCTTTTCTCTGTACTCTTTCTAGAGTCTCAACATCTTTTTTACATCATGGTGACCAAAACTGGATGCATATTCCAAGTGTGGCCTTACCAAGGCATTGTAAAGTGGTATTAACACTTCACGTGATCTTGATTCTATCCCTCTGTTAATGCAGCCCAGCACTGTGTTGGCTTTTTTGGCAGCTACAGCACACTGCTGGCTCATATTTAAGTGATTGTCCACTAGGACTTCGAGATCCCTCTCACAGTTACTACTATTGAGCAAGGTACCTCCTATACTATACCTGTGCACTTGGTTTTTCTTGCCTAAATGTAGAACTTTACTTCTTTCACCATTGAATTTCATTTTGTTAGATAGCGCCCAATGTTCAAGTCTGTCAAGATTCTTCTGATCATAGTGAGCAAACCTCTTGCTATGCTACTCACTGCTGAAATATCTTGCTTCAGCATAAGAATCAGGTGGCCTGCATCTATTCAGATTATCCATTTTGCTCAATCACCTAGAAGATATAGGAGATGGGATTTAATTGTGGACTCTTGAAAAATGGAACTGCAAAATGGTCAATTTCTATTATTGACTCTATTAACCCTGCTCTGGACAATTAAATCTATTTTATACTTAAACTGAGAGCTGCCTTTTTTGACTCTGCCAAAAAAGCAACAGTTAACAGTGACATATACAAATTGTGTCAAGATAAATTACAAAATACTGTATAAGCATTTATAGCTGCATCCTTCAACATTACTTTAGAGACAAATGTTAGCTAGAATGAACTAGCTTTACTTGACCAGTTTAAAGAACTGTGCAATGAACTGCAAAATGACCCATTTCAGCAAGATACTCCAGATACCTTGGAGGAGGTACATAGAACAATCATAGTAGAACATTTGATTCACTGGACGAAACATCCAGATGCTAGGAAACAGCAGACTTATCAATTGTATACACCCCATCTTCTCCAATATTTTTTTCAGTACCCATAGAAACCTATTTTTCCTAATTGGCCTTTCTGCCCCCCAAGGTGACTTCAATAGGAAGAGAGTGATTAGGGATATCAAAGTGAGAGTGCAGGGGTGTTATATAAAACTTATACTTTCCCTGCCTGCATCCTCAAAACAGGGTTTGGAGTGAGGAAGGGAGTTGATACTGAATGAGGATTGGACATTCATTCTCTGCCTTCCTCCTATTTTTAACTGATATGGTTGCTTTTCAAACACTAATCTAGAACCAAACTAGAACTAATCTAAACCAATCTAGAACTAGCTTAAACTTAGATCGTAGAACTAAGCTAAAAGCAACCTAGAACTAATGAGAAATTTCCTGACAGTTAGAACAATTAATCAGTGGAACTACTTGCCTCCAGAAGTTTTGGGTACTCCAACATTGGAGGTTTTTAAGAAGAGATTGGACAACTGTTTGTCTGAAATCGTATAGGGTTTCCTGCTTGAGCAGTGGGTAGGACTAGAAGACCTTCAAGGTCCCTTCCAACTCTGTTATTCTGTTACTATCCTTCCATTAGATTTAGGGAGAATGATCCTAAATTGGGCAAACTGCTTTACAGGGATAGCTGAAAACCCTCCTGCCTGCAAATGCTTCTCAAGAAAGGGATAGTACTGTTGATGCATATCTTCTTGTTGTTCCAGACTACACTAAAGGTCAGAGTGACCTAAAGATCTAGTAAATAAGTTTACTTTTGGAGTCAAAAATTCCCAGTGCTTCCAGGCTCCCCAAAGCATTTGAAATTGTTTCCTTTGTGTTCAAGCTTCAGGCAGACTAAGGAGAATTGGATAGATCATTGCTTCTGTTTAAATGATACATCCAATAATTTGGTTTTAGGGTTCATGCTTTCCATTGTACACAAAAGAAAATAATACACCAGTTTCTTAACTGTGAGTGAGGCAGGGCAGCAGGGGCAATATAGAAAGTTATTTTCATGAGTGCTGTGCTTGGATCAAAAGTTTAGGACTATAAATATCATAGATGGAATGCACATATCGTTGTGCAACACTCTAGTTAATATTTTGCTTTTTTAAAAGAAAGAACTTTCCTACATATTCATTGCCTTGGCATTCCAAGCCAGCATAACCAACCAAGATTTCAGCTTATGTGTAGACTCATGTAACAAAAATCCTGTTTTAGTACACGAGTCTTTGCCATAAGCTAAGATCTTCGGTTAGTTATTGTGTCAGCAAAATCATATTTATATTCATTTCCAAAATTCAGGCAACTAGTGAACATGTCAAAATAAACATTTTGGAGGATATCAAGTTAAGAGAAGCCCAGTCAAAACCCATGTCGAAATGTGAATCTTAGACTTCCTTCCTAAACTCATCAGAAAATCTAATTATGTATTTTTATGTCTAATTATGTGTTTTAAAATCACATCTTAACAATCCAAGGTTAAAAATGTTGGTCTAGACCAGGGGTAGGTAACCTTGGCTCTTTTATGACTCATGGACTTCAACTCCCAGAATTCCTGAGCATAGCTGACTCAGGAATTCTGGGAGTTGAAGTCCACGAGTCATAAAAGAGCCAAGGTTGCCTACCCCTGGTCCAGATAGTTAAAAGCAGATAGATGTTCTCAAGTTAAATCGTATAGCTTTTTGAAAACTAGAATATGGGAAGTCATTGTTTAGCAACTGAGATAGCAACTGAGTAATGAAAAAATACATTTGTGACCATCCTTGCATTTATGATCTTCACAAGTCTATAAAGCAAAGGAAAACTGAAGTAAGATAATAAGCACAGTTGCAGTTTCACTTAATGACTACTTCACTTAACAATCAAATTCCCAATTGTGGTCAGTAAATAAGGACTATAGGTGTTGGAGAAATAAAATTGTTTCTACTGTCATGTTTTATTACGGTTTTAGTGATAATAGTTTTGTTGAATCATTATTAAACTTTTTCTTCATTGGGCTCTTTCAGGATGAGAAATGTACAAAAGTAAAATAGTCAATAATAGTAAATGCAGGGGACTTGTCCAGCTATTCACCAGGGATCAGCACTAATTTGAAGACAGGAAGGAAGGAAGGAAGGAAGGAAGGAAGGAAGGAAGGAAGGAAGGAAGGAAGGAAGGAAGGAAGGAAGGAAAAAAGTTTATTGGAGACAGAAAATGCAGTATGTTTTATAGCAAATACTTTTTAAAAAAAATAGTTTACAAAACTTCAAAAGGGAATTTTGTGTTCTTTTCTGAGACTTGGTTAATACTGTAAAAAGCCTTTTTTGAGTATATTGAGAATTACCATGAAAAACCATGGCATTCAGATAAAAGTGGATTCTTGATTGCTTAGATTTGTGACAATAATGCTTTTTGCATTTAAAATTTCTCAGGCATTAATTCTGAACCATTGCCCCTTCTCCCAGTTTGCTAGTACGGTTTACTGATAACTCTTCTCTAGTCCTCAATAAATATTCAGTTTATCCTATTTATATTTAAAGCATTACTTCTTGTTATAAAAAAGCACAAAGATTATTTTCTATTTTGCAGGTATAATCTTGAATTGAGTAGCCAATACCATATATAGATGTAGCTTTTTAAAAATATATCCACATGGTAGAAGTTCATTATTATCTAGTTGCAAACAACTTTTCTGAATTGGTTTCACAAGATTGCAGCATGGCGAAATTTTTCTAAATTTTGTGGGGAGTCACTACAAAAAATAGTGTGGAATTTCCTCTGTTACATTCCATGTAGTTTATAACTTTGAAGTTCCTCGGATAGAACTGGGGTCTTACCAAATATTATAATAGAAAGTTGATGTAAATAAACATTTATTTATTACCCAAGTTTAGAGCACCTTTAATCTTAAAAACTTAATCTAAATACTTATTGATATATAATCCACCAGAATAGGTAGCCACAGGTCCTATGTGCAACCTTTTCTGTAGTCAGGATAAAGTATTGTGGTTCTGATAGCACTAACTATGTATTTCCTTTTTATTTCAGCTCAGATTGGGTGGAAATTATTGAACCCCGTTCTAGAGAACGAATGTATGTTAATTTGACAACTGGAGAGTGTGGTTGGGATCCACCACCCAATCTCAGAGTTCGGCAATCTGATGAAAACCAGTGGTGGGAACTCTTTGATCAAAACAACAATCGCTTCTATTATTACAATGCCATCACTCAGCAGACTGTGTGGCACAGGCCCCAGGGCTGTGACATTGTGCCACTAGCTCGGCTCCAAGCCATGAAACGTAATTCCCAGTCTGAGTTCGGGACATCACAGCACAGGAACAGTACAAGTAGTGAGGGACGAAATACTCCTATCCAGATAACTCTTCTACAGGATGTGGAGAAGAGTAAAGACAACATCAGTCTTGAGAAGAGGCCAGAAACTGAAAGGTAAATCATTTTTTAATTTCTCTGTTTCGTTTTTCTCTTTTTATAGCTATAGAAGGAAGAGGGAAGCACATCCTTGTTTTAAAATGAAACTCATAAGATGAAAAATACTTTGGGCTACTTAGTGTAAAAAACAAATAGGTAAGTAGAGAGCCAGTTTGGTTTAGTGGTTAAGGCAGCAGGCTACAAAGAGGAAGACTCTAAGTTCAAGTCCCACCTCATCCATGAAACCCAGCTGGATGACTTTGGGCCAGTCATTCTCTCTCAACCCATGATACCAGGCTGAGACTACAAGCCAGTCAGCATCTCAGAAATATCAATGGAAGGGTTAATGAGTATCTGGTTTTTAAAAATTGGCCACCTGACCAAAAATATTTTTTTAGCAAATAACTTACTCTGAGTTCTTGATTAAAACAGTATTTCTAATTGAAATCACCCAAACTTCTCAGAGTTGCTGCTTGTCATAGGAGTGTAGGTACATTGAAACAAAGCCACAAGTCACTCCTTTTTCCCAAGAAAAGAATGTTATAGCCAGCTCTTACATGTCTCTAATTCCAAACAGAGAAGCATAATAAAATTGCCGTCTGAAACATCGGTAATTTCTTTTTCAAAAAATGTTTTTGGCTTTACTGAATTAAAAGTCAGCAGATATGTTAAAAAGATCTAAAAACATGCCAAGATTCCAGTAGCAGCTTTTGGACACATTGGGAAAAACAAAAAGAGGAATTTGGCCTATCATGCTTTGCAGAAAGAATTACTTTTTCACAAATCGAAACCAAAATAACCTTTCTGGTATATCCTAATCCTCTCATCTTAATTTTTAACACATCTCATGTTAATTTTTCCACCACAACTATTTAGTTTTTTAATACTGAAGATGTAAAATTAATGCCTTTATGGCAACGGTCCCCAACCCCTGGTCTGTGGACCAGCACCAGGCCACAGCATGCCAGCAACTGAGCCTCAAAAAAACAAGCAAAGCAGGATGCAGACAGCACAAGAAACCACACCCTCTTTGGTCCGCGGAAAAATCTTTCTCCACAGAACCCATCCCTGGTGCCCAAAAGGCTGGGGACCTCTGCTCTACAGTGTGTTTTTCCAATATTGTACTATAGCTAGCTTTGCCCAAATCCCTATGAATTGAACAATTATCTTACCTCACTAAATGTCAGTAAACGTAAGTAAATTTTTCTATATCCATACTATTAATCTCTCTAATCATTTCTGATCACAATCTTTGTACAATTTCACAGGACCACTGTGTGTGCACTTAGGTGCCCTTTGCTTCACCACACTTTCAACATTTATTTGAGCCTTTCCCACTAATTTTACTTACTTACGGGGGCATAGTACTACCTCTAAATAATTTTCCTGGCTTAGTAATTTCCCCTGGTGCTTGATCATAATGCTGGCTTCTTCCATTGTGTGTCTGACATATCTTAAATCTGATTCCTGTATTTCTTTCAGAGTTATTGTATGTTTTGAATATTAGATGTTTAGAGGACTTTGAAGGTTCTAACATAAGATTTTCAAAAGCTTTTAAAAGTTGCAATACTGTCATCTTACAAATTCAATAAGTTTCTAATAAATAATATTAATGCCAGGAAAATAGAAATGACTTCATTGGCTAGCAGTGAATAAAGATATAGTCCAACGAATTTGAAGGGCACTAAATAAAAGAAGCTTTTCCTGAAATCTATTTTCCTGATACCATTAGAGTACTTGCAAAATGTTCATGAGATAAATCACCTTTTAACCCATAGTTACATTTTTTAATTTGGTTATTTCAGGCATTGATTAAAATCTACAATGCTAATTCTTTCTAATAAATTAAAAATTCTTGAACGCAGCTGCTATGGACAAATTGTATTTTTCCTAAGGCTGAACTTTTAAAAGAGCTAAATGGCTGCATTGCCAAGACCAAAGATAATGACAGCTTACTTACAATCAGCTTTTTTATTGCCATTCCCTGTATGTGATTATAAGACACACTGTATTCTGTACAAGTAATTTATATTTTCCCATTTGGGAACTAGCCTTCCTTGAATGAGGAAGTAAACTTTTTCAGAGATAAAGTACAGGAGCTAAATAACGATTATAATTGTTGATTTTGTTGGTCAATATTGCATAGAACAGTTTTGTCAAGCATATATAATTACCATGCTGATTTGAAATATATGTTTATAGCTCTATTGCATCTGGAGATAGATTAAAATAAAGATAGATAATAATGAAGTTAAAATAATATATTTCCACATTGCTGAAAAGGAAGGATTGATCTCTTCCCTTTGATAGTTCACAGAAACAGAAAACACTGTCATCTTATTGAAAATCAGCATAAGATCAGTCGTTGGTCCCAAAATCTTAATCATTAATCAATAGTTTTCAAAGTAAAAGGAAATTTTTTAGTGTGCCAGTGTATCACATATCTGGAAAAACAAATCCTGGCAACTGCACAGAATTGTACAGGGGGATGTTGTTACATTTCATCAAAACATTTAGTAGCAAGCATGTACTTACGACTGGTCATTTAGTGACTGTTTGAAATTATAATAAAAACTGCTTACAACTGCATTCAAAGTTCCAATGTTGCCTCCCCTCTGTGATCATGTGACTGTATTTTGGGTGTTTAGCAATCAGCCCACATTTACTTCCAGTTTCTGGAAAAAACTACCCCATAGCAAATATCTAGACCCGCTCCAGTCGGGCTTCAGGCCGGGATACAGCACGGAAACGGCATTGGTCACATTGGTGAATGATCTCTGGAGGGCCCGGGACAGGGGTTGTTCCTCTGTCCTAGTTCTTTTGGACCTCTCAGCGGCTTTTGATACGGTGGACCACGGTATCATGCTGCGGCGTCTGGCTGAGTTGGGAGTGGGAGNGGAAGTTGAAATAACAGATCAGAAGAAAACAGTGGCAAACTGCTTCCATATTGTTTCTAGGAAAACAGTAGAATATATCCATTGTCATTACACTGATAACATTTGCAGCATGTAGCAACTACTCCTGATTGGATTTCCCAGTTATAATGTTGAGCCTGGAACTGCACGGTCTATTGCTTAAAGGAAAATAAACAGAACTATGTAGTAAGATATTGATAAAGCACAACTGAGATAGAAGTACAAACAAAATACTAGAAAGCCTTAATATGGAAGGTTCATATAATCCATTTGAACAGCTGTCTATAACATTTTAACTATCCTCTGATAATGAACAAAGGCAGCTATTCAAAACTGATAGAGCACCTGTCTAATAACCATGCATAACACAAGCTCTTTTGCAGTATGTCTCGGGTTGGCACCTATGACACTGTTTTTCTAACAGAAAGCTGGCAAGGCCTAACAGAATGCAGATGCTGGCAGCACTACTTTCTGCTGTTAGTATTGGGATGCATCTGTTCTAACCTGTCAATTTGTTACATGAATAACTCTCCAATTACAACAACATGATAGGTTCAAAAAGCTAGTAGAGAGCAACTTTAATAGAGGAGGGGAAAAGTAGTGCTTAAAATAGAAAGATAAGCAGGCTGACAATGTTGTGCAAGTAAAGCTTGAAAATTGCCTTTATCCCAAGATTTTTGAGAGATGGAAACTCTAATATAGAAGCTCCCCCATATAAGATAACCAATACTCTGCCTGTGTAATTTATAATTTATTTTTATATGTGTTTATTAAGAACATCTATCACACAGCCGGTTAAAGAATCAGTAGCATGAAATGGATTGTAGAGATTAAAGTACGGTACAACTGCAAGCCAAAAATTGCAAGCATTTGGATAATTGGGTGACAGTTTGTAGAAATGCTACAGAATCCTTTTTAACCTCAAAATATTTCCCACCTACCTTTTACTGTATATTTTCTTTTTCTCAGCACAAAACCTAGTGGAGTTTTATCCAAAATTCAAGATGATATTTGTAACACATGCCTAATTCGTCATGTAGCACAACAGTGCCATCTAAAGTATCTGATAAATCATCTCATGCTGAAAAGCTCAAATAGAGGGAATTCATTTTTTTATTTTCCCCCAAAGCTTCTCCCATACAATTCCTTCTAAAACTAGTCATGCTTATCATTTAACCATAGGATTGTTCAGCCACTAGATAATTTTCTGAAATGATGGCTAGACTGGTGAATCAGAGACAGAGCATTTTGCTTGATTGGGCAAAGTAGCAGTCATTCTCTAGAAAGAAGAGGGCTTGCAGTTACCCGTCACATTTTAATGGTACCGAAGATACTACTTGGAGAAAGAAAAAAGGAAGACTTTTTTCTGAAATCCTTCATCTTAAGTACATACAGTAGATAATTACTCCAAATGGATGGATTTTATTTGAATTTTGTGTGTGTGTGGTGGTTAACTTTCTGTCTTATTTCTATTTTTTTCCTTTTCTCAAATATACTTTTTATAGCTTAAGATTTATCTTAAAGTGGCTTAAAGATGTAATACTTTCTAGTATTTTGTCTGTACTTCTATATCAGTTGTGCTTTATCAATATCTTACTATATACTTATTTGACCAGCAACATAAAATAATAAAAAGGGAATAGAAGATAACAGATACAGTCAGGATCAACAAAAAGAAATGATTTTTAAAATTACAGTTAAAAAGATAAAAATTAATAGAAACTAAAGAAAAAAGAAAAAATAGTGCATAGAAAAATATAAAAGAAATAAAAATAAAAATATACTAAAGAAAAGGAAAAGAAATATAAAAAGAAATGACTTCCTCTTTATCACAAGTATAAATAATTTTGGTAACTTTAGAACCTTGATCAAAGAAAGCAACTTCAAACAGGTAGTCCATGACTTAACAACAGTTCATTTAATGACCATTTGAAGTTACAAAGGCACTGAAAAAAAGTGAGTTATGACTGTTTTTCACATTTAATGAGCACCTCCATGGTCATGTGATCAAAATCCAGACACTTGGCAACTGACTCATCAATTGCAGTGTCCTGGGATCATGTGATCACCTTTTGTGACCTCCTGACAAGCAAAGTCAATGGGGAAGCCAGATTTACTTAACAACTCTGTTACTAACTTAACTGCACTGGTTCACTTAACAACCGTGGCAAGAAAAATCGTAAAATGGGGCAAAACTCACTTAACAAATGTCTCAGCAACAAAAAATTTGGGCTCAATTGTGGTCCTAAGTCAAGGACTACCTATATACCTTCCTTTTATTTTTAAAATCTTGATCTTTAATTTGTTCAGATAATGTCCTAGAGCTTGAGTCCCTTTCATTTTTTTTTTTGTTCCTTCTCACAAAATTCTTTAAAGCTTCAACAAGTCTCTTTTGTAAATCCAATACAGGAAAGTTATCCAGGTCAATCTTTTGGTCTGATATTTGTATTTCCCTTTTAATTATTAAGATATCAGCCAGTTTCCTTTGTATGTGCAGCATAGTATCTTCTTTTACCATGTCATTCTTGCAGCCTGTCATTTTTAAATCTATTTTCAGATCAATTTCAGACTTATTCCAGTAAAAATTGTTCCTTTTCCACAATAGTTTTTAAACACAGTCTCTCTAAAGAGGCAGGCACTGTTAAAATAAACTTCTGAGTCTATTGTTCAAAAATATCATTCAGTATGTCCATTGTTAAGATATTTTGCCCTGTATTAGTAAATAAAGTGTTCTTTAATTGTAATCTTTAGGGGTTTTTTTATTCCTTCTAGTGTCAATCCTCATTGTATCATGTTTTTTAAGAGAATTCAGAACAAAAGCATTTTCCCATGGAAAGCATTCTTATAATTAATTCCAAAATCTTATTTCAAATCCATCTGGACATGTCTGCTTGTAACTTTCCAACATTAAGGTTCTTATCACCCTATTTATTCCAAAATAATTTTTAAAACTACTTAAATTTGTATTTAAAATTTATTTCACTAAAGATTGAATAAACTCACTCAGTACTGTAATTTCCTTTATCCAGAAAAGAAATATGCACATGGAAAAATCTAGCCAATGTAAAATATTCTGAACAGGTATTATTTCTCAAATTTCTCATATTTCTGTGATAGCTGTGACAGAAAATAGAAAATATTTTTGCAATGTAATTAGTGAAATTCCCTGCCTTTGTCCCAAGATATAAATAGCTTCAAACTTTTGGGCATTTTATAGGCTGACAAAAGCAATATTTTGTGTGTGTGTGTGTGTGTGTTTTATTTTTTAACATTGTATTTTTTTTTCTACAGAGATACCCTTACAAGTTGGCAGCCTTTGCCAGGGACTAAAGCAGCCATGCTGGTCAAAGTTAATAGCCTAAGACAAGTAAATTCTTCCTCAAGCAATTCCTTTCAGATGCAAAACAATTCAGAAATCAACAGCCAGGAATCAATGAATCCCAAAGCAGTTGTATATGCTCAGTCTCAGTCTATGGTCCCAAACTCATTAACTCCGAAATCTACCACTCCAGTAGAGATGAAGCGTTCCATGAAAATTAAAAAGACAGAGAACGGAGGATTTTGTCTGGTATTAACTAATGGGCATACTCCTCAGCCTCCCTCAGGAAATCAGTTACAAAAATTGCCTGCATGTCCCAAATATGCTTCTCCGCCTCCTGTATATGATGAACCATCAATTGACTCTCCAATTTATGATGAACCTCCTACAGATATGGACATTAGAGTCACAAATATGAATGGGACAACTCCACAATTGTCTCCAAGCAATAGCTTAAATAAGAAGATGCAGCCAATTAAATTATTACAGCCTCCAAGTATACAGCAACACCAGGGTGGAAAAAAGCATTTGAGAAACCCTTCTACAACAGAATATAGCCCTGTGGGAAAAGAATATATTAAACACATGGTCAACATTGACCAGTCATCCCAAAAAACTCATTCTACCACCATGATAATTGATGGCATCGATAAATCCCAGTTGGGTCAGCTTAGCTCTAGGGAGAGCTTCAAGCAGTCTTGGAAAGTCGTAGAAGCTAATGTTCTTAAAAATATGGAAGTCCATAATAGCCGGCAGAGCAGTCTTCAGGCTCAAGAATATCCCACAGTGATAAGTCAGCAAGACTCTGGCTATTCAACAGGTCCTTCTCCAAGTTTAAGAAAGAGAAAAGGAAGACGACATGCTCCAGGCCTGGGAAGACCTGGTTCTGTAGGCAGCAATAGCGAACTTACTGTGCTGAATGACAAGCTTATTGCAGAAATGCGTGCAGTGGTGAATAGATCTGCTGCCTACAGGGGGAGCAAAGGTAGTTTAGATGCAGAAATGCTAGACAACACGAGTATGCCAGAGGGTAATAAAATTAAGTTTCAATCAGACTATTTTAAAAAGTGTAACAGCAGGAACTCAAGAGATGATCTTACATCTAGTAACAGGTCATTATATAGGCCTACAATGGAGGGTAAAGGCAGCCTCTCAAATGATCCAGCAATACAGCAAGATGTGGTGAGACAGAAGAGAACTTACGAAAAAATAGATTCTTTAGAAAAGAATGTGTCCAGCCTGATAAACCCATCATCATCAGACACAGCACAATTATCAACACAGGTATTTATTAATATGACACAATTTTAATCATAATCATGTTAGAGTATTTATTTATTGTTAGGAGGTCAGGCATTTTCTAGCCCTGGAGATTTTGAAATCATCAGGTATACACTTAAAATTATAACTTTTAATTTAATTTATAATTAAACACATTTGCTTGCTTTATACTATGCTGGGAGTCAAAAATTAATCTGTACCACTAGGTCATTATACAAGTTACATGGGTTTAATGCTATGGTTAAAAGCATTGCTTCTTTTGTTTAATAGTTAACTATTAATGTGAAGTTTTACTAAAATTGCTAAGTTTTATTCAATAATAATATTCCTGGGTTAAATACAATATACCACAATTAAGTCAAGGTTTTCACTTGAAAATGTAGATGGTCAAGACAAAACTAGCTTTTTTACCTACATATCTCTCTCTCTCTCTCTCTCTCTCTCTCTCTCTCTCTCTCTCTCTCTCTCTCTCTCAGAGAGAGCGAGAGCATAAGGAAAATGTTTATGCTGTAATTGTAAACATTTTATGCCAAATTATTGCCCTACATAGAATATTATTTATTTTGGTATATTTTTGCAAGAATGACAATTTTCTTATATTTTGCTAGGCATCATACATTAAATATTATTAAATAAATTAAATGAGACTTCTAACAATCATATTGAAAAATGCCCGTACTCAAAATTGGTATTGGTTGCATATATGGGATTGTTCATACAGTAGTGCTGTCAGATAAAGATAATCCTTGATTTATGACTGGTTACTTAGCAACCATTTGAAGTTAGAGTAGTACCTCCCCCCCCAAAAAAGCTACTTACAACCCAGCATCCTCACAGTTATTTGTCCTTATGACCAATGGCAGGGATGTTCAGCACCCTCGTCCCCCCCCCTGTCTCCCAAAGCCACTCTATACCACCGAGTTACTCAGACCTTGACTTACTTCCCCCTCAGCCACCTGGGGAGCCTCAGGCCAGGCGCAGATGCTACAAATTCGTGCAAAGATGCTGCAACTTGCAGACCTTAAGCTTGCTTCCCACCCAGCCACTCTGGGACTTGTGGGACTCAATCTGCTTCTCAGCCTGCTCAGGGCCCAGTAGCAGCCAACTTACCGTTCTGTTTTTTGCAGCTTTTGGAAGAAGCACTCCTGCTGATGCAAGGCTCAGCTTTCCTCCTCATGGCAGCCTCATGCTATTCTGCAAGCAGGTGTGATTCTTGTGATATTTTGGAAACTCTGTTTTTAAAGAGGCTCCATTTTTAAGGTGACTCCATTTTAAGGTTGAGAGCTAAAAAGCAAATAAAGTAATTAAACAATATAAATGTTGCTAAGGCAACTTAATATGAAGAGATAGTACTGAAAAACTACAACAGAGGAATTCCTTATGGCCAAGTCCTGTGTCTCATCATTTTTGCAATAACTAATTTGAGCCAACCTAAGAATTACAACAATATGAGGAGGTTTTTGCCTTATAGCAATACCAGGATCCATTCTCGATGCTATTGCTCATTTATCAGCACCCAGAATTCCACAGTTCTCTTTTTGCCAGTTCAAAGAAATAAATTCTACAAGCAGTAATACGGGAATTGAGTTACATTCTTAGAATGAATAAAATAGAATAGTCTAATGTTAGCCTTCTAGAATCATATACTAGAGGTACCAGATGAAGAAAATGACCAAATTCAGCAATTTTTGTTCAAAGAAAATTATTAGCTCCGACACCTTTCCCATGATTTTTTTTATCTATTGTTTTTACAGTGCGGAACAATAGGGTCTCATTCTCAAGAAGAGAACAACGTTCAATCTGGAACCAACGTCGGATATCAGTTTCCCTTCCACACCATACGAAAGCCCATCTCCCAAAGCAGCATGACTGACTGGGCTTCCAAAAATCTTAATATGCATACTCAGGGTATCTTTCGGCGGAGGCTCTCCATTGCCAACATGTTGTCTTGGAATGGTGGCTCCATCAAAAAGCCAATGCTTATCACCAGTAACGACACCATCAAAAAGGAAGCTTGTGAAATATTTAAACTGACACAAATCTATATGGGTGACCGGCAAGCCAGAATGGACCGCAATAATGTGGCTTTGATAACCATCACCAAATGCTGGAGTATTCAAGGTTTACGGGATGAACTATACATTCAGCTAATCAGACAAACAACAGACAATATGTGCTACCAAAGTCTGGCACGGGGCTGGGAACTTATGGCAATTAGTCTTGCCTTTTTCTCCCCATCACCCAAATTTCAATCTTACTTGGAAGGTTACATCTATCGTCACCTCAGCCAAATTGCAGATGAAAATAGTAAGTGCTTTATTTAATAAAGTAAATTACAGTATTTTAAACCCCTATAGATGAAATAAAGTAAATTATAATAGGGCTAAGTTACCATAATACAATGCAGAGCATATTAGTAAAGGTACTCAGGACCAAAGCTTGCTTGCTTTCCTATAAAATGAAATGCAGTATTTGTTGCCCAAGAACCTGGCTTCTTTGGCCTAGGCAAAATGAAAAGAAAATTCCTTGTAATGTTCAGTGAGCTTATTGCTGTTTAGATTTAATTGTAGAGATTCAGTTTCATTAAAACAAAAAACGTTTAATCTATAAAAGAATAACATTTTTGATAATGTTCCAAGAAATTATAAAGCTCCCACGAAAATCCTTGATTGATTGATTGATGTAATTAATTAATTATAGTCACCACACTTGCATATGACTGGGCAGCGTACACAATTAAAACAAAAAGTAAATAAACATAATTCAACTATTAAAACTATTTATTAACATTAAATTATGACATATATAAAAGTGCACTTGGGTCAAATTTAATTGCTAGTAACCATAGGAAGGTTTCCTTGACAACAATATGGAAGTTAATTGCCCTTGCCTTCTTCCAGAAAGTTTTTTCTACTGCCTAATCTAGTTTACAGTCCCGGGAACTGCTTGGTAATCTCCCACCCAAGGCCTAAGAGGCCTAATCTTGTTTAGCTTTTGAGCTCAGACAAAATTGTTTACCCATCTAGGCAAATATAATTAATTGTCATATGTTTAAAGTTTTAGGCTGAATGCTGGAAAAAAATGGATGTTCATACAAGGAAGTTTTTTTCATTCTTTGGTATTCTGAGGTTTACAGAAAGCAAATAATTAGAAGTCTCTTTTATATCCCTGGATTCTGATAGCATAAAGCCCAGATAGAACACAATTCATACTGGTTTGAAAAGTTTGGGGAAACAAATATTTCAGATATTCTTAGACAAAATAATAATTTGAGAAAACATTTTAAATTCAAAAGTCTTTCCGATTGTATACATTGTTCAAATAATTTGTGAGACATTAAGTTTTGGTCCTTAGACTCATGCTTCTGATTGTGATAAGTGTAAAGAAAAACAACAGATACATATGGGCAAAACATATTTCACAGGAAGGTGCACTTTGGATTTATTCAGTGAAGCGATGCTGTGAAGAGGACAGTGAATATTTGACTATCTTGCCATCACTCAATTAAAAATACTTTGTATTTTCAGTTACCCAACGCATTAAGGAACTTCTGGATCTGAAAAACAAAAAGAGCTCAAAATCCAGGAAAAAGAGAAAACAAAGCACAGAGGATGAAGGTAAAACATATAAGAAAATAAAAATCAGCATATATCTTTGTTTGGGTATCACAGATTTCTGGCACACATTATTGCAGTTGTTTGTACTTTAATATAGGTAAGTTCAGTCTGGAGCATATGCAAGAATCAGCAATACAGAAATAGAAACAAATGCAAAATGAACTATTATAGAATTTATTTTGTTATTTTATTCATTATTCTGTGGAATATTTTATATAGTAGTCTAATGTAGTAACAACATGGCATCTGTAGTGTCCCAATCTTACAACTCTGAGATTAACTATAAATAAATACTGCCTCAATCTAGGGTCTCATTTATTTCAACAGAATGTGTAGCCAAATAAACACACATTGGGTTGCAACCTTACTTTCATAAAGCAGTTGGGATCTTTCCATCCAGATGGGATCAGTTATAATCATTGGCCCCAAGCCTCAAAAAAGTCCAGCAAAAATGCTAACTTGGTCATACTTCTCTTCTATGCAGATGGTCGTCTTTTTCCATTTCCTTATAGTCTTGGAACATAAATTCAGTCCGATAGCTAATGCCTACTTTTAAAAATCCTAATAAAAAATAAGTTCAGGCAGCTTCTGCTATGTCACAGCCTCACCTACTAAAATATATTTTTCCTTTGAAAGTCAGTCTCTCTCTCTCTCTCACACACACACACACACACGCACACATCCCTATATTCTACCTAGATAATTTTCATTATTCTTATTTAGAAAAGTGTTTCACCTGATCTTAAGACTGTTAGTATCTGTTTTACTCATTGAGCAATTTCCGATTATTTTAATGTATTGTCTTGCATCAAATGTAGTATTAGTCAATACTATGAGAATTAAGTGTTCAGCAGAGTGATGGCTGAAGGGAAGAAACTATCCCTGTGTCTAGTTGTTTTGGCAGCGATGCCCTATAGCTGCATCCTGAGGAGAGGAGTTGAAATAGTTTATGTCCAGGTTGTGAGGCATCTGTAGATACTTTCTCAGCCCTCCTTCTGACTGGCGCAATATTGGCACCTTCATATTATATAAGATTAAAGGCCTTTTTACCACCATATTCCTCACATTAAATAATATACATAATTATTGGAAGCCTCCAATATGATATCAAACAACAGCAAATTTTTGAGGGAGGTTTCTGATGTTGGAGATAGCATGCAGCTATTATAACTAAGAGTCATTGATACTTTTATCTTCATAAATCAGTTTAATCCCTTTTTTAATTCTTTCGTATTAGTAATCCTCTCCAAATTTTATGTTGGTTAATTTATGAAATTTCTTATTTGCCTTATTAAAAGTGCTTTATTTTGTTTTTCCTGAGTCTTCAGTCTATCAGATTCATTATATAATTGAGATTTGTTGGATAATCCTTGGATGGCTCATTTTCTCCTATATTATGTATAGTTTTATAAATGTTTTTAAACTAAAATTCCCTAAATGTTTTGGACTTCCCATATAGGAAATTTCTTCAAATCTACTGTAGTTTTTCCAGTGTCTGATATCCTTTAGTAGATGCAGCAAACAAAAGTGCATGTAGCATTTCAAGTGTAATTCTCTCTATATTTGTGCAGTTGTATGCAAAAATGTAGGCAGTTCTGCTCAAACTGTATGTTTTCAGGAGCCTCTAAGTCAGCGGTTCTCAACCTATGGGTCGCGACCCCATTTGGGGTCGATCGACCATTTCACGGGGGTCGCCAAGCAAGGCTATCCGCCATTTTTTTCCCCTTTTCCGGCGGGTGCCTTACCTCCCTTGAGCTGGGCCAGCTGGTGGTTGGCCTGCTCCGTCTCTGCCCGCTTGCCAGCTACGCCTCGGCCGGCGCAGTGGGCGGAACCACGCATGCGCGGCGCTCCCGGGCAGGGAAAGTCCTCGACTTACGACCGGTTGGGTAGTCCTCGACTTACAACCGGTTTAGTCCTCGACTTACAACCGGTTTAGTCCTCGACTTACGACCAGTTGGGGGTCGCGGCATTAAAAAGGTTGAGAACCACTGCCCTAAGTGAATATGACTTCTTTCTGCATGATTAAGTGCATGCAATAGCACAGTTGCATTTTGATTTAGAGATATTTTCTTTTTCACTACACTTGAATGCCAAAAGCACGCTTTCATTTTGCTATCATTCCCAGAACTATTTTCCAGTCAGTTACTGCCAAGTCAGACTCCCTTAATGTAGGATTCCTTACCAAATATTCCTCAGTTGATTCTTACTTATTTTCCCTTGATTCATGTCTTTTGTATTATGTTTTTTTCCTTATTTTTAAATAATTCTTTTAACAAGAACTTTCTACCTGTTTCAGAATTTTCCTCCCCTATTACCTCAATACTATTCCCAAAGTGCATGTCACTCTGTATTGCTAAAATCAACTGCAAGTCTTTAGAAAGGCAGTAAAAGTCTGGCACTTTTCCTGAGAATTTGAGGTTAGGATGATCAGCACTTCTGCCTGGAAGAGTGCAATACATTTGAGCTCCATATCATCAGATTTTTTTAAAAAATACTTGCTTTAAATTGGTACTTTTTATTTTATTTCAGAGTTTTTTGTCATTGGTCAATTATGTTATCCAGAGTAAAATTGTTTGAATTGGGTGACCATATAAACACTTTAAATAAGATAAACTATCTGCAACACAAAAATGGCAATTTTTTCCTTCATTACTTGCTCTGTGTTAATTTTATCCAAGAAGTAAGCTTGAACCTTGTGACTCAGGCAATAGCTTTAATTTAACAATAGGGTATTATCAAGTTTACAACATTAGAAGGCCTTATCCAATATTGAAGACAGCAGCAGGCACATTATACTAGCTGAAACTAATAGTCCAAAGGTGTGTAACAGATCATCATTTCTAAGTATAGCACATTATGACACAATCCAAGCATTGTTTTAGGGTGAGGGTGGAGTTCAAAATCTAAATGTTGAGGAGTGTTGGGTGCTGGGATGTTTTGATGGTGGATGTATGGATGTATGTATGGATGTACGTATCTATGTATGTATGAATGAGTTTGTTGGTTTGTTTGTTTAATGTGTTATGGGCTGCCCAGTTATGGTACATAAGATACATTTTAAATAAATGTATACATATATAAATGGCAGTTCAGGAGCATGCTAGAACCATCATTTCCTCAGACAACCTTATGTAATAATTTCAAGATAAACTTTCTAGACCAGTGGTGGCGAACCTATGGCACGAGCCCTCTCTGTGGGCACACACACCGTCATCCCAGCCCCGCCTCCCATCACAGCCCCGTCCTCACCAGCAGCCCCCCCTGGAGGAGAGTCACCCCTGGGTGTGGCCCGCGTGGAGCAGCACAGCCAAGCACATGTCAGCTGGGCAGCAGATGATGCTGAGGGGCGCGGGCAGAGGGTGTAGCCACCATGGCGCTGCCGGGCCGCCTGGGCGATCTGCAGTGGGCTATGGATGGCCTTGAGGGTGGGCGGGATGAGGGTGGAGCAGGGCGGGTGGGCAGAGCGGGGGCAGGGCAGTTTTGGGGCACTCGGTCTCTAAAAGCTTCGCCATCACTGTTCTAGACAATAGAAAAAATGAATTTGATATTAAAACTAGTCTGAGAGTAGTGCTAATAATGGCAACTATCTCCCCGAAACATAGTGAAAAAACAATTACAATTTTGTTTTGTTTTAATGGGTAAAACAAATAGGTATTTTCTAGTCCAAAACGCAGGAAGATACAGTCAGTTTTTTTAGAAAAACAATGGAATTTGAATAAACAATGAATCTTTCGGGGGAAAGTTTGTCTTTTATATGTTATGATTTTTGGATGAGTTAATTATACAGATTTAAGAATAAAACAAACTTTAGAAATAGCTTAGAGTTGGGCGAATAAATGGTCCAGTTATTAGCAGTGTAAAGTATGTGCTGTTTTTATAGCACTCTTCACCGAAAGATGTAAGATTTTCTCCTAGGTCAAACTGCCAAAATTGAATTAAATATAGGGAGAAAATACTTTGAGATAACAAAACAACTGCAAAACTATTTTCTTGGAGAAATCTGTCCAAATTTCAACAACATTTCTATGAATGTATGTAGAATTCTTAATATTTGATGATAAAGGTAAGGTTGAGGGTTAGAGAAGATGTACAGATATTCATGCTCTTGGATCATTTTCTTTTTAAAGGAGTTTTCCAAGGCCACTCTAATTTGTTCATTTTATCTGCTAGGTCTACCAATCAGTACTTATGCCAGGTATTGTTACCGAAAGCTGCAAAAAGTAGCAATCACTGGAGGCAAAAAAGTGAGTAATTTGAAATATCCTAATTTAATTTAAATGAATACTTTTTTTCTTTTTCCTTTTTTGTCACTATAACTATTGAGATTGCTTTTATCAGCAATGAGAATAAATAGACTAAAAAGTGCAGATGTACATTCTTATTGTACTACTATTAAGGAACTGAAAACAAAATCTGAAACATTTTGCTGGATCTTCTTTATGGAAAAAATATGGAAGGAAAGAAAAGTAAAACTGAGAAGGACTATTAAATAAAATCAGGTTTGGGGTTCTTTTAAATATGTTGAATAGACATGCTAAAATACTTTAGCAGTCAGAATTAACTTTGTATAAGATTTTGTATTGGTAACTACTAGCAATTAGTGTTGAAAGTATTGAGTCAGGGAGAGCAGTGTTTTGAATCAGAATCAGTATGTTGCAGCTAATTCTGTGGATGCTGCCATCATGCTTGGAGTTTGCATAAATGCATGCAAATTGCCTCTGACACAATCTATGATAACTCTTATTTTCAGAATATCTTATATGTTTTGATGGAGTAATTGAACTTAACATGATATTGTATTTTTGGAAATACAGTAAAGATAAACAATATATGTCAAAAACAGCTCTTTGAGTTAAAGTTAATTTGTCAAGTTCAAAAAGGCAAAAAAGCACTAGTTGAACAAAACAGAATGAACAAAACATCTAATCTCCTTTCAGCTTTTGAGAGGAGAAAAGGAAAAGAAAGGCATAATCCCAGTCTTGATGTAACATGAGAACTTTGAAAGAGCATTTACATATATTTCCATGCTAGCTAAAGTTAATTAAGTTCCTGGTTAATGATATGAAAGCAGCAATGTGTTGGGTTACAAAGCAGAGTTTAGATTAGAGATCTGCACTTGCATATAATAAGATACTTCGGCTAAAATTGGACTGGTTGAACTTGTGACATACTGATTAAGATTTGCCAAAACTGATTACACATAGTCCTCATCATCGGTCATTTAACAATTGTTTGAATTTATGAATGATGTCAAAAAAGCTACTTATAGCTCAACCTTGAAGTTATGACTGCCACACATCCCCTGCAGTCATCTGATCTCATTGCAGGCACTTAGCAACTTGAGCATCCCATGGTCATGTGACCATGATTTGCAATGTTTGTTGCTGATTTCCGGCAAAAAAAACAAAAAACCACCCACCCATTCGGAAGAATGGATTCTTTTAACAACTATGTGATTTGCCTAATACACGGGTGTCAAACTCGTGAAGTCATGTGACTTGTCGTGACATATTGCGACTTTTTCCCCATTGCTGGCAATGGGGTGGGCGTGGTTTTAGCATGACACATCCAGCCCGCGGGCCAGCAGTTTGACACCCCTGGCCTAACAGCTGCAGTGATTGACTTTGCATCTGTCATAAAAATGCTCAAAAAATTGAGTCCAGTCATGTGGTGCCTCGACTTATGACCACAACAATTAGTCTATACTTTCTCTTCCTTACTGAAAAACATTAGCAATGTTAGACAGTAAAGATCAATTTATATGGCCCCATCTGAGGATGATCATGTCGAGTGGAAGACTGACTTGAAATGTAAGAATAATAAATGATAAAGAGTAAGAATTAATTATAACAAAAAAAAGACCTATGCTTATCTAGGAAACTAAGAGAAACAGAAGATCTGTATGAAAGTGCACTGATTTTATTTGTTACTAGCTATACCCGGCCACGCGTTGCTGTGGTTCAGTCTGGTAAAAGCGTGTGTTCCTTTTACGTCCAACAGATGGTGCTGTTTTTCAAAAAAGCATGTTTTACCTGTCACAGGTGTGACATCTATATAATATAGGTATATAAAAACACGCGCGTATTCGAATGCAACTTTGTGTCAAATTTTCAAAGCAATCGGTGAAGAACTTTCGGAGATTTAAGATTTTGAACAAACGAACATTTACATTTTTATTTATATATCGAAGATAGATAGATGATAGCTTATTTGCCACTTTATTTCCAGAGACTCTGACCAGTTTACAGCATCCGTAGAATAAAATTAAAGCAAAAAAAGAATCAGTACTGTACCAATTCCCTACTATTTGTGGGTAGCATGAACTTACTTGTCTCTACATTGTCTAAAAAGGCAATAAAGTGGGAATGGTTGAACTATCTAGGTTAAGCTGTTCTGTTGTAAGGGTGCATAACTGAAGGAGCTAAGCTTGGGATACCAAAGATGGCATTCCTTTGGTAATGAGACTGAGCAAACCCTCTCCCCAGATATTACTAGACAAGCAGATCCAACTCAGTAGTTAGATCCTGAACCACATAGAACTTTAAAAGTGACAATCAGCACCTTGAATTGCACTAGAAGTTAACTGAGAGTTAGTACAACTTTCAGAATAGTGGTATGAAAAATACAGTGAGGTGATTTGCTCGTTTAAAGAAAATGAGTCAAGGATGTATACAAAGCAAGAGTGAATCGGTCAAGAAGGGGAAAACCAAGAAATTTGTGACTGGGTAAAGTTAATAAGATCTATAAACAAAAGTTTAAAGACGAAATACTATGTATAAAGTGTAGCATGGGTATAGTGGAAGCCAATAGCCTTCACAAAGATAGAAAGCTATGGAAAAAGTATAGTGGGTTTTTTTCCATAAATTCCTTTTTAGCTATATTTATTATTATTTAATTCTTTTAATTCTTTGACTTAAGCTTTTTTCTTTTTTCTTATTCTGCATAACATTGCATATTCCAAAGAGAAATTTTGTGATGGTTTTATATATATATACATACGCTTAAAAGTGATCAGTTAATACATATATTCCTTCAAAAGTTGTCAGTTGGTATATTCCTAAAAAGAAAAATCATGGGTATATTTAGTATCCAATTTTGTATCTGTTTTTTTTTAAATCAAATAACCTTTCTTTTGAAATCCACATCTTTCTTTTTCTGATAATATATTTCAAAGGTTATAAAAATGCTTTTTTTGTCTGACCATTCCATCTAAATGGAAGCTGAAGTACAACATCCTTCTAACCCATTGAAAGTTTATTTAGGTTTTTTTTATTTTGTTCTTATAGGGTCTTCGGAAGCCTACAGTTGAGGAGATAATTCATGCCAAAAATGCTATTGTGACACCTTCATTGTTTGGCAGCTCATTGGAAGAAATCATGTCAAGGCAGCAGGATATGTATCCAGATAACAAGCTGCCCTGGGTACAAACACAGTTGTCTCAGCAAGTACTGCGACTCGGGGGAGAACAGACTGAGGGAATATTTAGGTGAATGTCTAACTCAGCTGTTTAAATGATGCACTAGTGACAGCCATCAACACTAGATCATTCATCTATATTTGATCACATATCATATTTCTTCTTCTTGAGAGTAGGTGTCTAAAATTTCATTAGAGTTTTAGAATAATATATACTTATAGGAAATGCAAGCATCATACAAGCTTCTTCTTCCAAACAAGTGCCTTTATACTAGTACTTGGGAGGGAGGGAGGAAGATTTCCAATGCTCCTTGTCAGACTACAAGGAAGCTGGCAGGAAATTGGAAATCACTCAAGATACATTTTAGGCTGCTATTAGTCATTTTGTTTTTCTGTTTAGATAAGAAAATATCTGTGAAACAATGACCCAACAGGTCATGGGTTGTCTACTTACTATTAAATATGTATCTACCTCTTAGAATTGCTGCAGATATTTCTTATTTGTGATACTAATCGCACTTTCTTCTGGGTGTGTATGATTTTCTGTCTCTGAAATTCAGCTTCATTGTTGTCTGTCTATGCTTTCAGAATTCCTGGTGATATTGATGAAGTCAATGCTCTAAAGCTACAGGTGGATCAGTGGAAGATTCCTAACAACCTTAGTGACCCCAATATACCAGGTATGGAAAAATAAGAGAACAGCAAAACTATTGAAAATGTAGTTGGACATCTCAGTTTGGTTAGTAGTTTTAAGTTGTAAATATATATCTCCTATATGTCTCCTGTCTATTTCAGTTTCTACAAAACTTTTAATAATTGCTTCCGAAGAGAACATTTGCTACCCTAAGCCTTTCTGTTCATGATTTGTGTCCTGTGATTGTCAAAAGCCTGAACCAGTGGAGCTCAGTATATGGTGCTGTTTTTCATTTTAGAAAGGATAGAGTCAGTTGTTTTATTTATCTAGAAAGAGGAGGAAATTGTATTGTGATTACTCAGAGATCCACTTTGGAACAGTAAGCACGACATATTATTTATACATTTATGTACTTATTTTAGTGCTAACACATCAAAGCAGTTTATATTAAATCACAAAAATATAATAACCACATTAGCAATTTCAAGATAGTATAAGCATGGTACACAAACAGAGATATATAAAGTTGGTAAAACAGACAGCATGCTATAATTGTTGTAAATGTCTCTGGGTTGTTTCTTGTCCTTAAAGCTTCTTTGCTAAAGCTGTGGTACCGGGAACTGGAAGAGCCTGTCATCCCGCAACAATTCTACAAGGAATGTGTCAGCAACTATGAGAATCCTGATGCTGCAGTGGCTGTAGTTGAACTTCTGCCAGAGCTCAATAAATTGGTCTTATGTTACCTCATCCACTTTTTACAGGTACATAGATATAGAATGTCTTAGCAGGAATCATTCTAAAAAAGCAGAATCTATATGGTTGTTCTAGATGCATCATTTCACATTACACTTGCAGATTTTATGAAACACCAATCTAAATTTCTTCTATCATCAGCCTTCAGTGCAAGGCTATCTACAGTGATTCCATTGTCTCTCTGAACATTTCCCTTTGAGGAGCTAGAGAAGCTAAGTCACCTTGCCTGTGACCAAACCTTTTATTTTTCTTCTTTATTTGAGCTGTGTTTTATTTATTTTGCAGATTTTTGCCCAGCCAATCAATGTAGGCAAAACCAAGATGGATGTAAACAACTTGGCTATGGTGATGGCTCCAAATTGTCTACGATGCCAGTCTGATGACCCCAGAATCATCTTTGAAAATACCCGCAAAGAGATGTCTTTCCTGCGCATGCTGATTGTGCACTTGGACACCAGTTTTATCAAAGGAGTTATGTGAAGGATTGGTTTCTGGCAAGACAGTGCAAAAAGAGCAATTAGTTGGCTCCAGCATTTCCTTTTTGGAGCCTCACATTGTTTCCTCTAGAGTTTCCATGATTCTACAGTGCTTTGTGATGCTTTTATTTACTTATGCTGATAGTAAGTTTGATGAATCTTCAACAATCCCCAAATGATTCAAATCAGAGACCATACTAGAAAGAGTTTTGAGAAACCAGAGAGCAAAATGTTAGATCATGCTCTGGGCCAGTCCTAAGACCTGCAGTAGTTGTTTCCAGCAGCTCTGTGTATGCAAAGCCCAAATGTTATATTGCTTGCACTTCACTGAGGAATCTTAGTGAAATTAAAAGTGGAATTGTCTGTTGGAAGCAAACTGTTTGCAGATACTGGGATTTACTTCTGTCACCTGAAGATTCAATACTTCACTAGACATGTCTCATGTCTCAGGTAAGATTGTTACTTCAGGCTGATTTTGTTTGGTTCTGCCATTCAGATCGCTGACTGCTTTCTTCTCAACAGCTTCTCTAGTATGTTTTCTGCTTTTCAAGGACAATTCTCTTACCAAAAAGAAGTTTTGAAGAAGTAGATAAGTTGTAGCTTGTGAGACAGGATGACTATTGCTATGCCTCAGGATATCTACTACTAAAATTCCAAGCGTCAATATTGTGCAGAAATGAAATCTTGAGTTGAATTTTGGTACATAACAAAATAGCAAGAAAGTGAAACTGTATATTTCCCTTGTTTTGCCTACAGTGATTTGGGAAGAGACTGTTTAAATCGTTAAGTCACTTTTAGCTTAAGTTTACTCCTATATTGTTTGGATTAGATGATTCAAACTCAAGAAATCTTTCAAAATCACTGCAATCAAAGTAACTTGTGGTTGGGATTTCTCCAGAATGGAGATTTATCCAGTAGGATAAGCTGCAGTGATTATGGCCTCTTCAGCATAAACTAAAATCAGGTACTGAGGTGCTATAAAGCCTTTTAGAGGAAACATGAATAACTACTTAAAGGTTCCTGTCAATGTCAAGATTTTGTGTTCTATTTCCCATTCAGCCTAATCTAAACAGACAACTAGAAGCATCAATTATCTTTTAAAACATTGGATTAAAGGAAGCTGTAAGGTGGAGAGATTTAAGTGAATAAAAAGTGCAGGATTGGAAAAAATTAGCTGTTCTTCCCTTTATCACTTTCTAAATATCCTCAGTGTGCTGTTAGATGCAGAATGAAAGAGGGAAAGCCAAATTATATCTGTTTTGTTTTCTCTCTGACCAGTAGCAATTTCAAAAATATAATTTGAGTTGAGACTACAGTACATAGAGGAAAATATATGTTTCCCAGTTCTCCAGTCAAAATCAAATCCCTACTATCTCCCACAACTGCATATTAAATAAAAAAAATTGAGAGCTCCAAATACAAATTTCTCACATCATGCATTATAACTATTAAATGGTATAACGCTGTCTTACTCTGGATTTCATTCTATTCTTGCCTAAACATCTCAGAAAGGCTGCTGTTCTCTTTGTTCTTTCAGTCCCTGGAACACATGCTGAATAGGAGGAGGACTGGTGCTTCAGTTCTGCTTCTTTGTTTTGTTCTTATACTGCAAACACATCCCAGAATCCAAAGCCTTCAGTGTTCCTTTATGTCATTTTGGAAGTGAGTGTAATTCTTTCATCGATCTTCTGGACAGAATAACAGACTTGAATTTTTTGGAAAGAAAGTGGGAATGGTCAAGGAAATAATGTTATGGAAAAACAAAAATCAACTTTGTTAATTTTTACAAGTTGGTGCTAAGAGCAATTCCTGTGCCAGTAAGAATGGGATTTGTCCTAGACGTATTAGTATTTCCAAGTCACTGGTTAGTATGATCTAACTGGGTAAAGAAATATATATTTTCCTTCTATTGCCATAAATTATGATACTTGTTAGAAGGTTCTCACATGTTATTAATGGAATTAACATTTACTACTGTTTCCTGTTTGAGTCAGTTCTGCTGTAAAATTAGATCCTTTAAGATGATCTATGTTGTAATGCCAAAGTCTTTGTTCACTCTTTATCTCATAGTGTTTTTTTGAAATTTAGCTTCTTTTCAGGGGACAGTTCAAGGTATCTGGAAATATTAACTTCTAGATTCCAAATAAAGCCATCTTCTGAGAGTCTGTTATGAGTATATATACATCTATGCAGCAGTGTATGGGTTATCCTAGGGCAGGGGTAGGCAACCTTGGCTCTTTTATGACTCGTGGACTTCAACTCCCAGAATTCCTGAGCCTAGGGTAAAGGGTATACTATTTGCGGGCTCTTACAGAAAAAGTAATGCAGCATTTCTCACTCCAGTTTCCTCCAAATAGGTAGATTTTATTTCGCAGAATTATCTAAATAGTACAACTGTGACTGAAACTCCTGAGAGTTGAATTGTCACATTTCTGTTTGGGGGGGGGGAGAAACTGGAGTAAGGCAATATGTCACATATCTATTTTAACTATGTTATCAGGCAGACATAAGTGATGCCCATGTATCTGTACATAATTGATACTTTGAACCTAAGCCCAAAATCCAGGCATTGATTATGATACATTTTCTTATCTTACTGAAAGTTTCATTTGATGTAGTCGATTAGCCTGAGATTTCTGAGGAGTTAAGTGCTATTCAAATAGGCTTCTCTACCAAAATTTGCCCAGTACTCTTGATAAAATCTGAAATGGGGTCTTAATTCTAAATAATAAGGATTAGACTCCTATTCATTTGTATTTGGAGAAAGCCCCATTAAACTCAGTGGAATTGATTTCTGAGTAAACATGCATGTGACTGGTAAAATATTGGGTTGTATCTAACAATCCTTTCACCACTGTACACTACTGACAGATCAAATTCAGAATTATTTTTGCAGCTTCTGGGTGTCCTCCAGATCTGTTCCACAGGACAAGGAGAGGAATAGAAGTGATTGCTGTTTGAGGAGAAATACATTCACACATAACAGATGTAGTCCATCATAATTTTCATATTTCTCAGACTTGCCAAAACAAGAGTTTCTTGAGTCTACTTCTGTGACTATGTAGGAGACTCTGGATTTCCTTAGACTGGTTCTGTTTGTGCTGTACGTTTTCTATAATGCATCTTTGTACAATGGGAAATATTAACCAATATGCAAGGTGTCATATACCTACCCTACTTTTTTTAAATTTTGTATTTATTGTTTTAAGATGTTCTCTGATGCACACGATTCCAGGTTTAAACACTGTTGACAACTAAAATATTATGAGTAATTGTTACAATCCTTTCTCCCCAGCACTACACTATAATCCAAACATAAACTGACTGTTCTATAATAATGCTTTGCCCCACCCCTTCTGGGCAGCAAAATAGGTTAAAAATTACACTGGATTTTTCCCAACATACTTGTAAATGTGAATCTGCAAAATGTACTGTCTGTTGTTGTTAAAGAATAAACATTTGGGTCATTACACCTGGTATTTTGAAAACGTGTTCATTTATTTGTAGCTTTAGATCCATTTTCCCCAAATGGGTACCCTTTTAGATAATGTTGAACTACAGCTCTTAGTATTCCCAATCTGCCTTGGCCATAAATAGCTTGAAAATCTGTACGTTATCATCCTACACTTCTGAAGGGCACAAAATCAGATAAAGTTAAGTTCACTGCGCTATGACTAAACCAGTATTCGTATTATTCTGGATTAGTATAATCTTACCTGTAAGGTTGGATCCAAGGGTATCAGTATCAGATCAGTCATCTGAACATTTCACCATGATTATTAAAAGTACTTTCAGGTTCTTTTTAGTGCTGTATTCATTTGTTTCTACTCATAATGGGAGCTCATTTGCTGCCATATGCAAAGTATCCCTTATAGAATAGAAATATATAGAAATGTTATTTTTTGCTTTCAACCATGTTTATACTAATTTTTACTTAAATATATGAATATATCCAGGGCTGTGGAGTCGGTAGATAAATGTTCCGACTCCGACTCCTCAGTTTTTTGTACTTCCGACTCCGACTCCCCGACTCCGACTCCTCTGTATTAATAAGCTAACAATCGGAGTTTACAAGTTTTTATAGCCTTAGCTGAATGACAGCAGTTTACAGCTTCAGTCTTGAACTATTGACCCTCCATTCCCTTCACTTATACAATTGTCTCTAGTCCTGCAAAAAACATATTTACTTAATCCCTTATCAGTGAGAGGCTAGGTTACCCATTGGCGCTGCGTTCCCTGTAACAGCAGAACACAACACTATGGAAAGTATAAGTATTGCCGCTCCTAATTGTGCGTTGCGTGCCATATAGTGAAGCACATGAAAAGCATGCTTCTTCACGGTCACTTAACGTGTTCGTTTTGCGGTTACGTGAGGCAGTGCATGCATTGGTATTTATTCTTACAGTAGAGAAGTCATTAATTATAATTTTTTGTGAATTGGGACATTTAAACTTGCTTTTTTTTAAATTCCAATCTAAATTTAGTAGGAGTCGGAGTTGGTGCATTGTTTGCCGACTCCGACTCCAGGTACCCAAAATTTACTCCGACTCCGACTCCACAGCCCTGAATATATCACTGAAGCTGATCCAGTAGTTCATCTGTAATCAACCAACAAGAATGTGATCCAAGTATAAATGACAAAATCTCTGGCAGTATATGGAGTCCTCGATTTACAACAGTTCATTTAGTGACCATTTGAAGTTACAGTGGCACTGAAAAAAGTGACTTATGACCATGGTTATGTGATCAAAATTCAGACAGTGGGCAACTGACTCATATGTATGATGGTTGCTGCGTCCTGAGGTATGTGATCACCGTTTGCCACCTTCTGACAAGCAAAGTCAGTGGGGAAGCCAAATTCACTTAACAACTATGTTACTAACTTAACAACTGCGGTGATTCACTTAACAATTGTGGCAAGAAAGGTCATAAAATGGGGCAAAACTCACTTAACTGTCTCTTAGCAACAGAAATGTTGGGCTCAATTGTGGTTCTAAGTCGAGGATACTTGTACAGGTTTGGATACATCAATTTCATCCCTATTGGAAGGATAAAGCAAAAGACAATGCGGTCATAAAATCAAATCTAGCCACTAGTTGGGATTCTTGTTTTCCAGAGACAGATCCATACAAAGTACCTTGTAATAATAATCTATCCTGGAAGTCACTAAGGCTGGTGTGAGAATGTGAAAGGAAGAAAACAGAACAAGTTATCATTCACAGATAATGTCCCTCTCTACCTCTTTGATATTTAGCTCCATTTCAGATAATATCAGGATTCCATGTTTCAATACAATTGTTACAAAAAGAGAGTACACCACAAGCTTTTATTTGAAGGAGTGCGCATATCTGACGTGAAGGAAATTTTAATAGCCAAAAATTAGAGATTGTATAATTGTCA